TAAATATAAATAAATATTATGTTTGAATATATAAATTATATATAAATAATAAATAGATATTTTAAAATATATAAATAATATTTTAGATTTACGATAAATAATTGATATTGTAAAATAAAATTATTTTATTTATTGATAATTCATTAAAAATATTAATATCTTATTCAAGATTAATTATGATATATAATAACTGAATTAGATGATAAGTTAAAAAAATACTTATAAATTCGCTCTTTAAAGAAAGGCTCATAAAAATACTCTAATTTGTGTTTAATATATAAAAATTAATTTTTAAAAAAACATGAAATTAATTATTTTTCTATAAAACACTGGGGAAAAAAAGTTTAATTAGGAACAAAAAATACACATTTCAAATTAAAGGTATTAAAATTGCAATCAAATCTCATTAAAATTTGGTGTATATATTTTTTAGTTTTTCAAATTTAAAATTTATATTTTTAGTTCCTGTAATTTTAAAAAATATTATTTTAATCTCTATATATATTTGTGGTATCTCAAATTTAAAACATGTATTTTTAGTTCACAAAATATCAAAATTATTATTTTAGTTTTTCTGCTTAAATGTCATTAATAAATTTACCAAACAAAATTCACTTACTAAAACTGTCGCACGAAATTCTCCTACTAATGTTATTATTAGTGAAAATATCATATTAAACCAATTAATAATACATAATTGTTTCAATATATCATTGTCAATTTAGGATTTAGTGACCTTGAGAGACTAAAATAATATTTTGATATTACATGAAATAAAAAGATAAATTTAAATATGGGGATTAAAATAAATTATATATATATATATATATATATATATATTGGGACTAGAAATATAAGTTAAAATTTTGAGGAAAAATATATATAGTCCAAATTTATAGTTAAACAAAAAATAAATGTTGATTAATTATTAAATAAAGAGGAAATTGCAAGCGTTGCTATCTCTCAAAGAAACAGTGAGTTTTCTGTTTTGTTTCTTTAATATTAAACTAGCTCTCAAAATTATATATTGATTAATTTAATTTCTAAAACTAAAAATATTATTTGACTCCTTAAAATTACTAAAAGTTAGTTTTATTTATTTATTTTAATGACTATAATTAACATCACCATTACTGAATAATTTTGTATATTATGAATAAGTTGATCAAACTGTATTTGGGTTTTACTAAACAAGCTAATAACATAACTTTTTAGTGAGTTCATGTTAACGTCAACTGTGTTTATAAAGTAAAATGTTATTTATCAAATAGGACAACAACTAAGCCTCAAAGTAATGGAGAAATCTGGTCCCATGCAGCTTGTTTGGCCCTTAGACATAGATAAAGAACCTTTTCGTTCAAAACTAGAGTAACTAAAATGCCCCTTCATTCTTTTCAATCACTGCAAACTAGTTTGATCAAAAGTTGGACCAAATCCCATAAAACCTACTGAACATGAGTCAAATACAATCTTTTTTTTTTTAATAACAGACAGGAGAATCTGAATTGAACTCAGAGTTCATGTATTGAAATGATTAAGTTTAGACAAATAAATATTTCTTTTAAAGTTTTACAAGAAAAAAAGAGGATTATTTTCTTAAAATTCTGTCCACACTGTTATAAATACATTATTTATTTATAATGTTCTTGTCTATGCTTATTATAAACCTGTCTACATTATTATCACATGTCAACCACATGAGATTGTTTTCTGTCCAATTCATGTCATAACACTCTTGGTTTTTCTTCCTTTTGAACATGAAAAACAATTCGGTCTTGAAGAAGCAGTTAATAATAGGCCCTCAATATTATCATTGTGAAATATTTTAGTTATTCATCCATTTATGATAATATTTTCATTTTTCAAGAATCAATTTAACTTAACTATTTTAGAAAATAAATAAGAATATATTCACTTTTTTAAGAACTAATTAAATATTAAAATAAAAATAAAATGATTGAAGGGATAACGCTTATAATCTTAAGGAACTATCTGGTTTCTTTTTCTTTTTCTTTTTTTTGTTCAGGAAAGAAATTAGGTCAAGTGACTTTTTGTTTTTCAGTGACTAAATTGAATATTTCTCTCAAAGAAAGAGACACCAAACACTTCAGTTATTGGATGATATGTGAAATTTTGCAAATATAATATTGATGAAACAAAACACGAAAATGATTTATGTGAAATAATGAATATTTATATATATAATGTTTATAATTTTATATTCATATAACATTAATTTTAAAATAAAAAACCTTAGTATCTAAGTATTTGAGGGGAGATAGAGACAGGACTCTTGGAGCATGGGAGTGCTGCAACTTGCAACTTTTTAAAAGGGATAAAGTCAATGAAGAACTAAAATAAAGGAGCCTCAACAGTATACAAAAGAGGAAAAAGAGAAATTACCCACATGGCTAAAGGGTAAGACCCAAAATTTTCATCCACCAAGGAAGAAAAACATTCATTCTTGTTGGGTAATTTACAATTAACACCCTTGTAAAAGATCCTCACTTTCATGTTCTAATCACATTGCTCTTCCCAATAACAAAATCTTACCTAGCTACAACAGTGAACCATCCTGTATTTTTTCTGTATCATGCAAACTCTATTTACCATAAAATTTCCACCCTTCATCCATCAACTAAACATGTAAAAACAATGCATCACAAATAATAATTTTGCCTTCTCAGAAATCATTTTCTTCTGTCAATAATCTGTGCAAGATACAATAATGCAAAATGAGCAAATGAGATAATAAATCACAGAAAATTGTAAGAGCATTTAATGTACTGTGTGTGTATATATAATTAACAAACTGAGTAAGAGTAATAAATAAATGATCCATCAGAACATCACTTCTTATTGTTATTGCCGCACGTATATCATACCATCATGTTTCTTCTTCAAACTCCTTGCAAATAGCAACAATATAACCAGAAAAGCCACCCCAGCTGCCCCTCCTAATATTATAGCAGCCGTTTTCCCTGGATTTTGCCCTGTCATTGCACCAATAGGCCTCATATCACGATAGAAGATTAAAATATGAGCATACTTAGCACACTAGCAAACAATTTTCTTTGAACAATAAAACAATTAGAGAGGGGAGCTAATAAAGTATTACAAAATGGACCAAAGATTATTTAAAAGGACAAAGACAATGACAGGTTATTCAAAACCTAACAATCATGATGTTAAAAATTGACACTTCTCTTTTACCTCCCAAATTTTTAGGATCGGAATTCCCTGCAGCCATGGAATTTCAGAATTCACACATTCATCTAATCGGAACCGTTTGATGAAAGATCAGATGACTGATATTTTATCTCAACAACTCTAACTTAAAAAATATGTATCAGAAATGTTACTCATCTGATCCATCCAACAAGTTGTTAGTTACTGAAACTTAATTGTCTTGAGTTTGAGTTCGAACCTTATGGACAGAAAAAGCATAATTGAGAGGAAAGACACCCCTAAAGGTGGTTAATCAAGTTTCTCAGACAAAGATTAGTGATCGACAAAGCTAACATACACTTAAATGCATGAATGTGTAATGGAAGGAATTCATTTCCCAATTTTTGTTACATCCAAACATGTTTGGTTCAATGTGTAGTTAGGTAGGTTATGTATTAGAAACCATTAGTCATTTGGTATTACCTGAAGAAGATGAAGAGTATGAAGCTGCTGTTGAGGATGATCTAGAAGGAACCCCATTTGGGTAATAGCTATAACTAATGAAGCACTTATGCAAAAAGACTTGTCCTGAAATAGAGCTGCCACATTCAACCTGGGCTCTCTGCACAGCATTTTTGACACACTCTCCACAGTCTGAGTCACCAACATCACCCTCACACTGCCCCATCACATACACAGCCTGGTAGCTGGTTGTGTAAAAGCCATGGCCAGTGACCACCCCATTTTCCATCACAGAGAATGCAGTGTCCCTCCTCTCCTCAAACCCCCTCCCAGCAGCATTTGTTGCCCCACAGGTCTTGTACAGCATCTGCATTCCTGAGATTTGGGAGAACCCTGCAACCTCATAGAGGATGTAGCAGCCTAGAAGTTGGACTCTGGCAGCAGTGGTTTTGCCACAGAGTTTGTCACTCAGAACTGGGAGCCTGCTGACACAGTTGTAGCAGTCAGAATTGGTGAGATCCCCTCTGCATTGGAAGAGGCCAGTGATGCTGCTTTGGCCAGAGCCAGAAGTGGCCTTGTAGAACTTGGTTTTAGTGGATTGTGAAACCAGTGAGCCAAAGAGTGCAGAAAGTGATTGGGAGTACACCCCATTTGGATCTGTGAAAGTCTCCTTTGAGCAGCCCTTGTAGACCAAAGTGGAGTAGTCAGAAGCAGATTCTGAAACATGGGGTGCCTCAAGGCTTGTGAACAAAACCAGCAAAATAGGAAGCAACATGGGTTTCCCAATAAAACCCATTTTAGCTGTGTGTGTGTGCGTGATGTTGAGGAATCAAATCATGGTAATTTGAGCAAAACCCTTCAATGTTCAAGGGCTAATATGAGAGATCAAGAATTGTTGCAGATTCTTTAGTCTTTTTCTGCTGCTTTTTGCTTCATCAAGAACTCAAAGGATTTAGCTTTTGTGGTTCTCGAGAGAGAGAGAGAGTTGGGATTCACTTTCCCTTGGATATCCTAAAACCTCAGGAGATGTGCAGATGGATGAGTTGTATCTACCTGCTTTCTCTCTCTACAATCAGTACAATGTGTAAAGTTAAAAAAAGGAAAAAGGGAGATAAAATGTTAAAGAAGTGTGGTATAGTTTTGAAAATGGCGTACTAGTTTTATTTTATTATTATTATTATTATTATTGTTATTAGGCTTAAGCCATGGTTTTTATTTATTTTAGTTGGGTGGCGAGGGATTGAGATAGTTAAAAATATGAAGACTTAAATTTAATTTTTATTGTGATTATTTTTGTAATTTTTCTTATTTTTACCAAATAAGTATCTTTTATTTTCAAGAAAATTATATTATCATAGTAGAAGAGTGGGTAAGTGATATTCTCATGGAAATATGAAAAGTTATTTCCTATAACACTTGTAACTTATATTTTTTATTTAAATTATTTTAAATTTTAAAAAATATTCCTAGGAATATTAAAAGAACCAAACTTTTTTTAAAAAAATATTACCAAGAATAACATTCTTGGTTATATTATTCTTAAGAATTTGATTATCAGGAATATAATATCATTCCATGAAAAAAAAAACACCCCTAATAAGTTTTAATCCTTTTGAACTTATATTTGACATTATAGTAATCATTTTAATTTTTATGTAATTTATTATAGCTAAATAAAGTATTATTCAAAAGTTAAGTTAATATATCTATTTTTTCAATAATTATTTCATATAAATAACATTAAAATAATTATTTTGATTTTTAAGCAAGTTGACCTACTAATCCCTCATAAAACAGAGTGGGTTGGAACTTTCAACCTACTTTCGAAAGCAAAGTAGGGCAGGTTGACTTGTTTTGGGGAAGTCAACAATGGATTGTATAACATTGCATGCTTCAATAACTTATTATATGATTATATGATATATGTTGTTTTATGATGTTATGTTGTAGTTTTATGATGTTATGTTGTAGTTTTAGAACTATAAGGGACAATGAATCATTGAGAGTTAAGTTCTTTTGAGCTATTTTAAGTCGAGGTCAAGGTTGACTAATTTTTGAAATATATAAGGTTTTTAGAGAACTTGAATTTCACATCATTTATCTAAATTCTAGAAAGAAGTTTTAGAGAGATAAACTCTAAAACTAAAGAAGGTCAATTCTTCTTTTGACTTCATCTAAGGTGCCTAGAACCTTCCATGAGGTGGAGATTGAGTAGTTGAATTGAAGATTCAAGCTTAGGAGCTCTAAATCTTGATGATAAGTCATTGTACTATAGGTTTCGAGATCTTCTCCATTTATCTTCTTCTCCATGTTTTGTGAAGCAATTGAGGTAAGAAAAGTTTGTTGTTTGAATCTTTAAGATGTTTTAAGTTGTGATTAGAGTTTTTTAGCCTATTAGTGACTCAATTGTTAAAGATTGAGGTTTTTTTTTAAGTTGAAAAGTTGGGGTTTTCAAGGGTAAGGAACTTGTAACCCAAACGAAGTTGAGATTTATGAGTTTTAAAGTTGCATGGTGAAATTGATGTTAAATTCATGATATACATGTTTTTTGATGGTTTACACGTGATATATCATGCTTGTGGTGGTTGAATTTAATGAAAGAAGGTGAATTTTAATGAAGAGGAATCATGTTTATGCCTAACGAGGATGAATAATGCTCGGTCAACATTCATTTAGGGTTGAGGAACTTTCCACAAAGTTGCATTCACTTAGTGGCATGTTTTTGCTCAGCAAGAAGATGACTTTGTGGTAGTCTCTTTTATAACTTGCTCAACAAGACATAACTCGCCTAGCGAGAGGACGCATAGGGGGTTTTGGTCACTCAATGAGTTATGCTCACTCAACAAGATAACCCACAAAATGATGTGTTCGCTCAACATGCTTTCAATTGCTCAACAATGAGCTCTAGAGGAGCAAATCCACTCAAAAAGGAAACTCATAGAGGGTTTTTTGACGCTGAGCAAGAGTAGCTCACCCAACAACAACCTCTAGAAAGCTTAGTTGATGATAATTTTTGTGAAACTCATATTATGTTATTTTTCCTATTTTGTTGCTATGAGTTGATGATAATTAAACCAAATTCATGTATGATGATATATGATGATGATGATTTGATTAAGTTGAAAGTAGCTTGTTGTATGAAGTAAGTTGTATGTTGAAAGTTGTGATGGACATGTAATTCATGTTTTAAATTGAAAGTTGCATAAAACTAGAGCATAGAAAAGTTGTTTTAAAAAATTTAAATATCTCATTGTATGGATATCCGTTATGGTGCTCTGAGAGCCCAAAAGTTGATAACCCTTAAGAGTAAGTTGTCTCTTAATTGAGAAGTTGTTTTAAGTTATTTCCTCTAGGTTTTTTAATGGAAATAATATGGTGGGGATTGAACCATATTTGTCATAAGTAATCAATGAGTAAGGTAAGGTCGGGAGAAAAAATCCCTAACCAAGTATTGAAAAGGTGGACAATATTTGGAGGATAGTCAATAGGCTAATTTCATATAGACTTAGTTATGCATGTTTAGGTCGTGGTAGGCTCACACCCAAGTTGTTCTATTCCTGACAATAGTACTGAACTTTCTTGGTGTAAGTGACAAAACTTGATAAATCAATTTTGGTCACCATGCCAGTCATTGTTTCTAGTTTTTACACCAACTTTTGTGGTTCGATAAGATTAAACCACTTAGACTGTTCATCTAGTTGTAGGAGATCTCCATAAGTTGTTATGCATGATGACACATCAATTATTCAATTGATTAATTATGTAAGTTGTTATCAATTGTTTAGTTGTTTAAGTTGTTCAGTTGCTCAATTGTTTAAGTTATTCAATTGTTCAATTATTTTCAGTTGTTGTCATGCTTTTAAGTTGTAATGCTAACTTGTTGTATAAATTGCATATGTTACTTGAAGTTGTAAATTTTTTATCTTATAAAATGTTGTTTCTTTCACAAGTTTACCCATATTTTTCATGTTGTTAGACTGTGATCATACTTATTATGCAAGGAAGACATGATTAGGTTGGAGGGCATGTTTAGTAGATGGCCATGTTAAAGATCGTCTTTGTGTTTTGATGAGTTATTTTATTACAACATATATATAGAGAAGCTTGAACAATGTTATGGGATTTAAGTTTTTAGTACTGTTATACTAGATGTATATTTGAATGTTATGTACATGGTTTTTTTATAATCCCTTAAGGGGATTTATGTTTTCGAGTCAAAATTGGTAAGGACTATTTTATGTTTTCTACACTCTATACATATATTTGTTGCATGGATGTCTAGGTATTGTAGAATGATAATCCTAGGTTAGTAGATTAATTATATTTTTCATTTGTGTAATATATGTAATGTACCAAGTGTAGTGACCTATTGGGTCATTACACTTTTATGGTAGCAGAGTCGATCGATTCTCTTTTGGGACACTCTATAAGAATGCTCTTATTATGCTTCTATTGTGTTGTAATGTGTTGTTGTGAGTATTACCTTATGGTTTGTTTTGATCTCAATATAGGATCATAGGTAAACCTCCTGGGTTTTCTTGCGTTTCCTTTTGTAATTTGGGCCTACTCTTTTATAACTTAGTGTTTAAATAGTTTTAGACCTAAAGGATAGGCTACTCTAGCAATTTGAATCATTTCAATTAGGACCTAGAGGCAAAGAGATTTGTAAATTTCTCCTTTTTCCTTTCCTCTTTGGGTTTGGTTTTTTGCCTTCTCTAATTTTTGTTTTGTTTTAATGACTATATGAGAACAATCTTATGTATTTCTAGGATTGAGCATAATCCTATGAATTAAATAATTTCATTTTATCCCTATTTGATTTTTATTATTTTAATTATTGCATATTGATTTATTTATATTGAATGAATTTTTCCTATATTTGACATAATGAGAGGTTTAGGGATGAAATGAGAAGCAACACAAATCTATAAAGAAGAAATGAATAGTTTTAATTCGTGACAACAAAATTAATCCTAAGAAAGTAAAACAAATTAGTAAAGAGAATAAATGGTCTAATTGAACATAGTCACCATGAAAGTAACACATTTATTGGTTGCATTAGTTATGGATGCTATGATCATGTCACACCCATAAGAAAGCCATGGAATGAGGGACAACACCAATCAAAGCATCATAACCACTCAAGACATATAAAAATAACCCTAGTCCGATGTGAGTTCCAAAAATGTGTTGTGACATTGTATCTTGCAAGTTCCATATTTTATTTTATTTTCTACTCATTTTTCCAATATAAACCGCACATACACATATGTGGGTTTGCTAACTTACACTCAATTGTTTTCTAGAAGAATAAAGTTAGCAAGTTATAACTACAACATTTAAAAAAGTATCGAGACGTAGCTTGCTAATACACTCCTCTAAAAATCAAGTGGGTGTAAGTTAACAAATATTTGTAGATTTATTAACAAGTGGGTATAGCTTTCTAACTTACTTCTTCTAAAAAATAAGTGGATGTAAGTTAACAAATCACACACAAAAAAAAAAATAGAGATTCACTTACTCCATGAGTAAGTTTAGGGTTTAGGATTTACACAAAGTAAGTTTTTTAACACAAATTTATTTCACTCAATAACTCATATTTTATATTAAATTTTAATAATTTAACTATTAAATTAAAGTTTTTTAACACATATATCAAATATACAAATTTTTAAAATTTTTGAAAACTATTTAATACTCTATTTCATTAATTTAAATTGACGGATAATCATAAAAATGATTATCCGTCAATTTGAATTAATTAAACGAAATATCAAATGATTTTCAAATTTTTTGAAAATTTGCTGACTTTTTTTATATATTAAAATTTTTTAATTCAATGGTTGGATTGTTAAAATTTGATATAAAATATGAGTTATTAAATAAAGTAAATTTAGATAAACTTACTCATATAATAAACAAATCACTCCTCTCTCTCTCTATATATATATATAAGATAGAGGACTAGTGCAAAAATGGGATTTAAAATCGGAATTTTAAGATCGGTTACAAGATAACCGATCTTAAAAGTGATGCGGTGACAATTTTGTAAATAATATGAACATTTTTAAAATTGGTTAAACCCCGCCGG